TGGTACTGCAAGTGGAAACTGCACCTGGGGCGTTTGCTGTGATGGACTGCAGCCAACGCACATGCTCACTAAAAATACCATGTAGAATTGTCTTTATCTTGTGTGCAAGTGTCAGCAAGCAGGGAGGAGTGGAGTGTTCAGGCCTGATTCCCATCCCCGAGATCTCTTATTATATCTGTGCAATCATTCTGAAACACTTGCCGTCCTGAGCATCTTAGAGGAGGACTGCTCAGGCTGCATTTGAGTCCCATCCAATGAACAGCACCTTTTTTTTTTTCTCCCCAGCATTTGAGTATGTGTTGCAGGCTACAGTTCCCTGGTTAATAGCAGCCCTGCCTCCAGAATGGGAATCTGTAACCAGAGGCTGAAGGACTCGTCTTTGCATGTAGGTCTACATCATGACTGACCACTTGCCTTGGTGCTTTCCAGCACCTTCCACATCAGCCTGTCTAATCCTAGAGTCAGATCCACCTGACTTTGATGGAACACTCTCCCTTTGCTTCCCTGTCTCTCCCTTCCAGAAATCACGTCTCTATTTCTCTGCCCTGCTTTTGACTTCTGCCTGGAGCACATCGTGTTTCCTTCCCAACCTGGCCCCCACGTTTTCGGAAAACCTCGTTTGTCCCTTCCTTCTCACATTCCTGGGGCGGCCATTCCATGAAGTCCTTGCAGTTCCCGCTTGCTCTCGCAATGACTTCTCCCCTTGTGATGCACGTGGCTGCCTTGCAGCGGGTATAAGCTCCCTCCTTCCTCCCATGCAGCTGGTGAAGTCCTCGAGGCTGATTTAATCCCTCCAGCTGGCACAGGAGGTAGTGCATGGAAAATGCTTAGTAACTGGAAGAAAACACGGAGTTACCAAACACGATGATGTCGATAGCATCTCAGTGCATCGGGTAGGAGGAGGGGATGTCCAAAATACACTCACCAAAGTGTCTTGATATTTGCAGTCTAACCCATTGTCCCAAGTCCCTAGCCCAGCAGGGATGTTCTATGTATGCTCAGACATTTGACGAGGCAATGGGGCATGGAGGTGTTAGAACTAGAATATTGACACCTTCCCTGGGCTTCTGCTGCAGGGGGCACTGCGTTCTTCAGATCTGGCACATCCATCTGGCATCTTGTGCTGTTGCTGCTGCTGCTTCCAACTTGGCTGCGCTGAGTGAAGCAGTCACTGCATTAGTTAAGTTCACCCGGCTTGGGATCGCCTCGTTTCCCACTTGCTGCAGCCAATGGCAGCTTGCAAGTCTTGCCCTTGGTCAGGTCAGTTGGGCTGAGATGAATGCCTCCTCAGTCCTGGAGGCTTGACATTGTCCCTGGACTCTGTTGGGGGTGAACTTGGCTCTGTGTTTAAGCTTCAGGAGACCTTGCAGGTGGTACTGAGTTAGTAGTGCTGGAGGAGCCAGTGGTGTGATCTGAGCAGGTTGGGGCTCTCTGTCTGACTTTTGCACCTTTGCTTCTTTATAGGCTGTGATCTGAGTGGGGCCTCACACCCCACTCATGAGTCATGCAGGCTTCCTGGTGTCCCTCGGCTCCTTACACATGCATGAGTCAATGAGCTGTGCACCACACAGGCAAAGTAGGTGAGAGCTGCCAGCCCCATGTGGCCTGAGCAGTCTTTAGTCCCTGTCTGAGTTTGCCTGATATAGACTGGGCTAGAATTGTCCTCAGTATGTAACTTGCTGTCAGCACATTTACTTGCATATAGCTGGATTACTTTCCTTTTAGATTTTAAGATAATGCATATTCTAAATTGCTTAATCCAGTTGAAGACAGGATGCATGTAAACTTACAAAGGACAAAAATAATGCACTTGATCGTTCAAGAAAAACCTGTGTCCAGGCTGACACTCAACACTGCTTTCCTCTCAAAGGAGCAGGGGAGAGAAGAGTCCATTGATTAGGCAGGGCTGTGTGCCTGTCATCTCTGCATTGTGTGCGGCCGGGCATGGCACTTGTCCTCTGGGTGTGGCAAAGCAGCATCTCAAAAAGAAGTCTCAGACAGTCTCGGGTGTCTGTGTGCCTGCCCTGCTGCTCTGTCTCGAGTGTCTGTCTCTGGCTGTCACCTGCCGTCACATCTTGCGTTCCTCTGTGGGCCTGTGGGGTGGTGCAGCTCCGGGATAGTTCACTGGTCCTCAGGGACTGCTGGTGTTTGCTGTCCAATTCCTGTGAGCTGCCCATCATCACCCAGTTCTAGGAGACACGTACCTGGAAGCATCTTTCTAAACTTCACCCCAATTTGCTCTTATCAGTTTGTTTCTGGGGCTTTCAAAAATTCTAAGAAATGACCTTAGGTAGCAAGATGATACAAACATTTATGAAGTGTCCCTTGTCTCTTTCCCTGGCTCTCTTTTCAGTCTTCTGAAGACACGCTGCTTGGAAACGCTTTAAAATATTAACAAGAGGAGAGGCTGACTGCTTAGTCTTTGTTCAGACGCATTCATTTTTCACAGTTTGCCACATTTGTTTGCTCGTCCTTTCTCCCTCCGCATGTTATATAAACTGATCTATTTTCTGAGTATTTGAGAGTGGTTTTCCTAATTTGAGTTCTTTCACACAATAATAATTCAGTTGTTTGCATTCTATGACAGTATTCATTGTAATTTTTCTCTGAGTTTCTATACATAGGGATAAGTTACCCGTCTTCACTCTTTTTCTATAATTTATACATCTTAATATTTTTTAGACTGTGTTGCAAAGTATGTAACATAAAACGTTAGTCATATACTTGTTACATTACGTAAGATATATAGTTGATGTGTTATGTTTTTCACAAGTATTTTTTTATTATTTAATTTTATGACATAGTTGAATAGGCACTGGGGTCTACAAGTATATTTTCTATTTATAGGTATAGCCTATCAAATATGTAAGGATTTACAAAGGTACAAACTATATAAAGATTTAAATCAAATTATTAGCATATATCACATAGTGTATTAGTACTATAAAACAAAAATATAACTTGTGCATGTGTGCAGTATATTAACTTATATTCTTTAATATGGCTTATAATAAATTGCAGTGAGTTGTAATGTTAGGAATCTGATTTAACATAAATAAGAATGAAAACCTTCCAATGTAAAGTTGTAAAATATTACTGATGTAAATTTTTGGTATCGTGAATAATCTGTTGTATATCTTTATGTATTTTTTTGTAGATATTTCTTATCTGGACTTGTCATTTTTATTCTGATGATGTAGCCGGATCTGAATCCCTGGCTAGAATGCTATAAAAGGGATGCATGCTTTTCAGTGATGGGATTTTCATTTTAATCCCTCAGAGTACAGTGCGTTTTCTCCATTGTGTAATTATTCCTGTACATTTCTCTAACGATGAAGTCATTTCTGAAGACAGCGTTTGAAGCCACGCACACACTTTTGCCTCAAAACTCTCTTGTGCCATAACTTTGGCTTCCGTTATAATTTTTAATATTTGCCACTTGATCTGATCTTCTAGAAGCCTGGTGATTTTCAGCACCACCCTATTCACCCCATCTACTCATGTAATCCTCAGATACCCTCAACATGTATGAGTGAGGTCGGAAGACACCAGAACTCCATCGGGGCTCCCTTTCTGGGCCGCAGGGTATCATCTTCTGCTGCCTCCGGGGTGGACCCTGCAGGGAGCTGCACTGGGAAGTGGAGCTGGGACTCAGTGCTGTTGTGAGCACCCTAATAGGAAGTGTGGGTGTCCCAACTGTGCCAAATGCCTGCCCCTTTTCAACTGCATCTTTTGTGAAGCGAGGTTTTCCTTTCTCTCGGATGATTGGGCAGCGTTGGACTTAGGGCACTATCCAACCATCTTGTCATTCCTCTGTGAATTTACTTACAGGCTGAACTCATGGATTTCTGGTTTTTCCCACTGAATGGATGAAGATAATCTATGATTTTTATTTATTGGGATATCCAGATTGTTTTAGATTTGGTCTGGGGGAGGTGCTTGACATTGACTTCTGACTTTCCCACTGTTATTTTCTAAGCACCTTCTTTCTTGCTGATGCGATAACAGAGTGTAGCCTCCTCTTGGATCTTCCCAGCTGAGCCCTGCAATTCTAGAAATTTCTCTCTCTCTCTCTCAAACACACACATGTTGACTACAGTGCTACATCCTAAGACATCCATTGGATGTCTTCCAATGTGTCTTCCAATGCTTCAGCTAAGAAAAGCACAGTGCACGCGTCTGCACAAGTACACACGTAGGTATAGCTGGGTATTGTCCATGAGTGCAGACCCACTTCCTTTCTCAGTTGTGCTGATTCCTTAAAACAAACACATGAATGAACGAAAACCAAAGCATTTATTTCCCAGCTTTTCTAGAATTTTATTAATACTCTTTTTCCCATTAGCACTCTGATGCCCATAAACTAGCATAATGGCTGACATTCAGTTATTTTTACAAAATGCTTTTTGAAAACTCAGTGAGTCAGTGACTACACTTTTTAAAAAGAAGGTGTAGTTATTTGAAATGTGGGGAAATAGAGGGAGAGGGAGAACGGGGGTTGTCTTTGTTGACTCACTTCCCAAATGCTTGCAATGGCTGGGGTTGAGCTACGCTGAAACCAGGAGATAGGACCTCATCTGGGTCCTCAAGTGGGTGGCAGAGGTACAAACACTGGGGCCATATCCTGCTGCTTTCCCAGTGATGAGCTGGCAGCTGGACTGCAAGTGGAGCAGGAGGGACTTGAACCAGTGTTTACGTAGGATGCTGATGTTACAGGGGGCAGCTTCACACACTGTGCCACGATACTAGCCCCAGTGAATACACTTATAGTAGAGAGGTTAAAAAAGTACGAGCATCTCCATTTCCCTCTTGCTTTTCTCTTCCTCCTGTAAAACTATTGGTAAGTATATTTGATGATCACAGGTGGTTAATTGTATATCCGTATGGGAGGAATCATTTTTTTTTTAATCATTCGTGTATCAAATCACAAACACATTACTGTGATGATTTTGTGGAAATGGTGTTCTGAGGCTTTTCTTTTTTGTTCATGAACTTCCCAGGTGGCTGGAATTGTGGGCAGAGCGGACGTGTTGGCGTGCCTGCTGTTCCTGCTGGCCTTTCTGTCCTACAATAGGTATGTGAACCTGCATTCCAGGTATGCCAGGCACCTGCGCTGGCACCATCAGCCTGAGTGAGGAGTGGGCTGGAGACCAGTGATGGGAGCTCTTCCCTGCCCCAGAGCTGAGCTCTTCTCTCTTCAGGCCCCATGCTTGCCTTGGGTGGCAACCCCAGCTCTTCTTCCTGGAATCTGAACATTACATTTGAAATCATAGTTCTGAACCAAAATATCCTGGATGCAATTCTTTCTTGCAATTGTTCAGAGTTTGTCTGATATCTCCTTTTCATTTTGGCCTTGCATGATTCGTCCTCTGTGTTATCCTCACCAAAGTAGCTGAGGGCTTAAAATAACAAGGCTGAGTAGAAAGCAGTATTTCTTCATTCTTTGTCCAGTTCGTTCTTTCATCCGATTATGAAAGTGCTTGCCTTTGGGAAACTGAAAAGCAGTGAGATGACTCCCCATGATGTGTGATGCTCCTTGGTCCCCAGAAATCAAATGCTCATGCACACAGGGGAGAGCACAGGTTATAAGGAGGGGGTGAGTGGGGTAGAGGGCTGAGAGCATGGCGTGGAGCAAGCAGCTGCATCCTCTGCTTGGTGGAGAGATGCCAGGTTAAAAAGGGTTGTGAACTTTGACTTCCAGATCCCTCTGTGACCCTGACTGACACCCCTCTTCTGAAGCAGTCACACTGCGAGAGGGCTGACCTCCGTCTCCGGCAGACATCTGGTGCTAGGGGCACACCTGTGGTTGTTGCAGCTGCAAAGGTACCCAGTGGGTGGAGACCAAGGATGTTGCCTGTGAACTCCCCAGGGGCAGGAGGCAGCACCTGCAGCAGAGAATGGCCAGGCAGCTTTCTGAGACTGATGAACCCTGACAAGAACCATGGTAGACCTTGGATCAGGGAGGAAATGAATGAACTTGTAAGGTTTGTGAGTTTGCCTTCATGGGCAGAGGTGTTTCTTTCTGAGGCACCAGTCTTTTGGTCCTGGCTGCATGGTGTTCTGGTGTATTTTTCATTGTATGAAACAGTGTTGTGAAATCTTAAACCCGAAGCCCAGACCTCGTAATTGTGTTCTGTTTATTCTCCTGTTACAACAGATTGAGTCCATTTGCAGCTGCAGTGATTCCTGGGGCTTTTTCTGTGCTGTTGATGTACTTGGGAATGTGACGAGATCTGCAGCATGCTTGTGTCTTTGACAATGAGCTGTGTTTGAATGGGTTTGCTGTTCATAGTATTCTCACTTTGAGAAATGTCAGCTGTGGGTAGACATCCATGCCCTGTTTCACGGTTCTTGCATGGGGTATCCAAATCTGGCTGCTGCCTACAGCTTTCTGCTAATGTGCAGCCTGGGAGACAGCAGGTGCAGGCTCAAGCCATTGAATCCTTCTCCACCGCATGGGAGATGCGGACTGACTCCTTAGGTCCTGACTTTGGCATGATCCGGCTTCTGGTATTACTAGCTTTTAGAATGTGAACCGGTGGATTGGAGCTCTTTAAGCTGTAGATTAACTTCATAAAGAAATATGCCTACTATGAATTTTGCATATGGTTCTGTGCAGTTGTTTTAAGACCTAATGATGAGGAGTAGACATCACAGCTACGGAGATGTTGGCCTGTACTTCAACGATGTAGGAACCAGGAGGTGTGCGGCAGCTGAAGGTAGCAGGGCCACTTCCCGGCGGTGGGGTCAGCTCTGCTTTGTAAGAGGATGGAATGACCATAGCTCCGGACGGTGTTTGAACATCTCTGGGCTGTCTATGGTACAAGCATCCCGTAGGGGCAGTTGGAATTATGGCTGCTTAGTGTCTGACCCAGCTCCTTGTAATATGCCTGAGAAAGAAGCAGAAGATGGTCAAAGTGCTTCAGCTTCTGCCAGTTACAAGGGGGATGGGATGGAGTTCCAGGCTCGTCACTTTGGCCTTGCTGAGCCCCAGCGATTTTAGCATTCGAAGAATGAATTAGTAGATAGAAAGTCTTGCTCTTCTCTCTCTCTTTCTGTTTCTCAATCTTCCTCTCTTTGTAATGCTGTCCACACACACACACACACACACACACACACACACACACACACACCTCCTCCTTTTGGGCCTGGCACAATAGCTCAGTGGCTAAAATCCTTGCCTTGCATATGCTGAGATATCATGCGGGTGCTGGTTTGTGTCCCGGCTGCTCTACTTTTTATCTTGCTCCCTGTTTGTAGCCTAGGATAGCCCAAAGCCTTGGGGTCCTGCACCCACTGGGAGATCTGGGGGAAGCTCTTGGTTCCTGGCTTTGCATCAAGTTAGCTCTGGCCATTGTGGCCACATGGGGAGGGAACCAGTGATTGGAGGATGTTTCTCTCTTTCCTTCTCTCTGTAAATCTGCCTTTCCAATAAGAGTAAATAAGTCCTGAAAAAAAAAAAAACTCCTTTGGGACATGAAATTGAGAAAAATGTAAGCTGTGCCTAAGCTAGAGCTTATTAAAAGAAGAGGTTAAAATATCTGTATTTAATTACGGACAGAAATGTGGATTCTGCTTTTAATATCCACCAGCTTCTTTGCATACAGAGGCATGTAAAACATTCTCGAGCAAAGGGGTATTGAGGATGATAAATGCAGGGCTTGTGGTAAGTCATTTAATCCTTCCTGTGTTGCTTAAAGCCCATCTCTTGCACAGGGAGCTGAAGCATCGAGAAGCAGGCTGTGTTGCCTCCTGTCACTTGGTGAACTGCAGAGCTGTGATTTGAACCCAGGTCTCAGACCCTGGGGCTTATGCCTATAGTTTGGAAACCTGTACTACTTCTTAGAGTATGTTTACTTAAATGTCTGTGCAAATCACTAAGTGTTATCTGTATGGTAGCATCATCCATGTCTTTTGTGTATTGACTTCTATCTTATCCTAATCTTTACATTACATAGTATCTTTCCATCTTAGCAATTTTACCAAGATTTTATTTATTTGAAAGGCTATGTGATAAAGACAGAGACCTTGCATCCACTAGTTCACTCCCCACATGGCTATTATGCATGGAGCTTTGCTAGGCTGGTGCCAGGAGCCAGGAACTCCATCTGGGCCTTCCCTATGGGTGGCGGGAGCCGGAGCACTTGGGCCATGATCTGCTGTCTTCTAAGTGGAGATAAATTAGAAGCAGGGCAGCCAGAACTCAAACTAGTTGCTAGAATATGGAAGGCAAGCCTCGCAGAGAGGGGCTTATCCTGTGATGCCAGAAGGCCATCCGTCTCAGCAGTGGTAAATCTCCTTGCCTGCTGGCCAATCATGAGGAAGTTTTTTTCTCGCCTGCTGGATCACTAGAAGTCCAGTGAAACTGGCACGAGGTCTTTGGTTTAGAAGGTGACTTCACATTTTGTCGCCCAGGAGTCTGGATCCGTGCTGTGCTGGTGGATGTTTCCCTCCCACGGCCTCGCCCTTCTTCCTTGTGCTCAGCCTGTTCCTGGGGACCTGCGCCATGCTGGTGAAAGAGACTGGCCTCACGGTGTTTGGCGTGTGCTTGGTGTATGACTTGTTCTCCATCTACCACAAGCAGGAGAAGCCGTAAGTCATTGTCTGTCAAGCAGCCTGTGGGCAGAAATGTCATTCAAATAATTATTTCCAAATTCGCTTGCAAGGAAGAGCAGTATACGACCTGGTTAAGTGTCATCTCACCTTAGCCTGTTGTACAAACAGTGTATTCAGACTCATGTGTTTTTGTATGTTGCGACTCTCCTACTCTTATGAAAACCAGTGAGGACAATGACGTTTTTGGTAAACTTGATTTGGAGATGAAAGATATTCCTGTGTGGGGTGCATGTTTGGTTGATTTATTTTGGCTGTATGCCCCTGAGAAAACCTGGCTGCGGTGGTTGGTGCCAGAGAGCACCGCCCTGGAGGAGGGACCCGTGTTCCTTGCTCTGTGGATGGCATTTTTCCTGAGTGTTCAGAGGCACCTGTTGCAGCTCCACACAGAGCCAGTTGGCACCATGTGGGGTTGCCTACATGTCATATTCCAACTAAGGGACAAGTTTATTTGGTAGCCCATCTCCTTTTTAAAAAAATCCTCATTTTATTCTGTGGACAAAGGATGGTAAAAATAACTAAGGGATATTGGAAGTTCAAATGCATACTGTAATGTCTTTCCCCATCAGTTCCATAATTACCAACAACCTTGCATGCAGACTCTGCTTTTCAGTAATTATAAGGATCTTTTGAACTTTTAAAAAATGGCCGATTTCTTCTCCTATTTTGTTCTGTGAATTTTTTTTAATCTTGTGTTTTTATTTGATTCCTTACATCTTTATTCTTCTTAAGGATGAGAGCAGTGGTGATGAATAGTTCAGTTGGGACAAATCATTAAATTCTGATCACCTCCCCGGGAGCATGGTGCTTGGAGATAATTCAAATGGAGTTTTGTGTTTTGTTGGCTCCCTGCAAGTCTCACGGTTAGTGCCGTGTCCTACTTTCATGCCTCAAGGCAGGTGACCTGCAGTTGGCTGGAGGGTCTCTGCCCTCTCAAGCAGGGGCATTCACTACATTGCACGCCCTCCTCTTTGGAGAGCTGCCACCACAAACCCTCTTGCTTCCTACTCTCGTCTTGCATTCGCCTTGTCTTGTCTTCATGACAGCAAAAGGATATGACTGCTGAGTACAGACACCTGCTCCTCACCTGCTTTGTCTGAAGCCTTCCCAGCCTGAGGTGGCCTGTATCCCGTTTTTCCTCTTCCTCCTCTCTCTGCTTAGCCAGACATTTTTCTTCAAAGGAGAGAACTATCCTCTTCCTCCAAGAAGCTTCATTTCTGGCATTTATCATGTTAAAGTACTGGATGTTGTATATATGAGAAATAATACTGCTTACCCCTAGCTTACCAGCCACACAGCTGCTAGTCTGTGTGACTTTTTGCTTTTTCTTGAAGCAACTCCTGACTCTCCCAGCAGGTACGCTGCAGATGGAGGCCTTCATTCTTTGCACCTTTGTTTCACACCCCAGCCATGTGCAAAGCTGATGAGGTTCCCTCTCTCAGGAGCCTGTGGGACAGCAGGGCAGACAGACATGCCTGAAGGAGTCGTGCATTGCAGTTGGAGAGAAGCAGGAGAAACTGTGAGGAACAGGGCATCCTGACCACGCAAGGCTGGCTTCCTCAGAGTACTGGTGCCTGCTAGGTGCTTGCGTGTGCTGTTCACGACAGCCACCAGCCTTGTTTCACACAGGGCAATCCATGGCACGGTCGGTGACTTCCCATGGTCACCCAGCCTGAGTGGACACATGTCCAGAGCTACAGGGTCCCCCAGGTGCCATGTACCCGGGGAGGACATGGGACAGGGCCCTGGGAGACCTCACAGGACATCTGCTGCTCTGGGACCTTGAGGCAGTTATTGTGGCTCAGGCCTTCTCAGTGGTGGGGGTCATGGGCCCCTTGGAGGCACCCACGAGCTTGTGTCTTTCCAGTGACCTCATGAACAGTTCTGCACGGACTTTGGGGGTTTGTCTGCTGATCCCTGCTTCCCAACTCATCAGGTGTGATCCTCTTAGCACCCGGCAGGTCTTGAGCTCTTGCACTGTTGGACCTGGGTGGCAGGAAAGGATCGGTCGGTGGTGGACACGGTGGTGGATGCACTGGCCCGGCAGGAGAGTGAGTTAACTCCTCATTATAAGATTGACCCACAGGAACGAAGTGGGGTTTCTTTTGTTTGACATCACTTTGAGGAGGAGACATTTCTTGGTGAAAGGTCACCAGCTCCTAAAAGTTAACTTTTCTTTTCTTCCTGCTGTATGAATGGCAGGATAGAATTTCTAACACCTAGAAAATAGCATTGCATGGCACTGTTTCATGGCACTGCTTACTGACCTGTGTGCCAGTGAGCATCAAATGCTGTTATTTTACAGGTCTCTAAGCTTGCCTCAGTGGAATCATTTTCTTCTTTTTCCATTTCACGTTGGGCTTTTGACATACATTCATGTTATCCTAAGGAACTATGTTTCGTTGGTTCTAACTGAAGTATGCTATAGAATTACCACAATTGATGCATTCTCCTGGGTTTGAAATTTAAGTCATTTCCACATGTTTTATTTCCCCAACTGTGGTACAGTGGATTTTTGCGTGTGTGAGGCTTGTGTTGGACACCCAGGAAGGTGGAGCTGCTGCAACAGAGGAGAGGTGGGTGTGGGCTCCGCACATCCCGAGCCCTTGCAGCTTAGAGGGCTGTGCCAGTGAGTGAAAATCAATTTCTTGGTCAGCTTTTCTTGCCACCACTTGGTAGTGTCAGACTTCTAATTTTTGCCCTTGTTGTTACAGTATTTCACAGGATTATTTTATGTTAGGAAATCCGGAATTCTGCTGGAACTAGATACTGTGCGAGAAGTATGTCTGGAGATTAGATTTGAAAAGTGTGTGTGTGTGTGTGTATATAGTGTAACAAGTGTGTGTCCCTTGTTTTTCATAGTTGTGATCAATATAATTTGTAGTTTAACTACATGAAATTCAGTTTTAAGTTAAAACTCCAGAGATACCTGGCAGAAGTGAAAGGGCTGAAGCCGTGGGAATGCTTGCTTCTTGGGCATGGGGCTTGGAGACGGAGCCGGTTACTGCTGCAAGCCTTGTCACTCTTTTCATTCTGTGCCTTGTAGGAGCAATGGGATTATCCCATCCTGCAGCCTCCAGCATCCTGGGAGCACCCGACCAGCTCACCTGCACCGGGAGAATGGGAAGCAGCCCCGGCTTCCTCCCAAAGGCGCCTGGGGTGGCTGCCACTCCCCGCTCCCACCGGAACCCCAGAGCAGTGGATTCCTGGGGTCACCACAAGCCGTGTGGTCCCTGATGAGGTACTGAGCTTTGTGTGTCTTCCATGACTGGTGTCACCAGGTGTGGCCTGAGAGGGCTGGAGAAGTGAGGTACCGGCTCCCATCCTGCCCATGTCCCTCTCTCTATTTCTGCCTCGTCCTTTCCTTTGTCTGAGATGAGAGCTAGAGGAAGCGTGTTGAAGCCTGGTGTGTGTGGTTGTTGGGGAGCAGGGCAGTGCAGGGTGGGTCTGTGGGTGCCCTGTGTTTTTGGTGGTACGAGGGAGACATGGGTGTGCTTGGCCATTGCCTGGTCTTCTGGTTGTTGGTGTTGACTATGGCATTCTGGAGGAACTCCAGGGCACTGCTGTCCTATTTTTGAGAAAGCAGGGAAGACTTCAGACTTCGGGACTTGACTTCTTTTTTAAAAAACATTTTGACCTATCTGTGAATACTAAGGTGGATTTGTCAGCACAGGTGCAGTGACTGGCTGGCAGAATAGCTCAGGCCATGACCTGGCATGGTTAGACACGTAGACCCTGTTTGAGCAGTTGATTCATGCCTTGGCCAGGTCCAGACCTGGGGTACTTTGAGGCAGTCCAAAGGGGTCTTCTATGGGGAGGCCACAGAGTGGAATCACACCCGATTGGTGGAAGCAGAGCTGTAGTCTTATTTTGGATCATTCCAGGGAAAAAACTCTCTCACCAGACTTCAGGTGTGGTTTTTGATTGATTGCCGAAAGTTTCCTTTTACATTATGATTTGCTTACGTTGGAACTCGAGGTGGTTTCTTGATTATCTTGCAGTATCAGCACTGTACACTTCGCATTGCTGTGCTGTTCTTCCTTGAGGATGTAGAAACTCGTCTGCATATTGTGGCCCTTTCAGAACTAAACCAGTGAGTGAATGAAAGATTTGCCTGTCTTCCTCTTCTTCCCATCCCCTTCTCTCTGCATGTGTGTGTGTGTGTTTCTGTCATTCTATCTTTTAAGTAAAATAAAATTGCTAGAAACAGTAAGACGTGGGACTAGAGCTGTGGCGTAATGCAATAAGCCATAACCTGCCATGCTCACATCCCGTCTGGGTGCTGGTTTGAGTCCTAGCTCTCTCACTTCTGATCAATTAGCTCCTTGCTAATGAACCTTGGGAAAGCAGTGGAGGATTGCCCAGGTCCTTGGATTCCTCCATTATCCCTCGAGACATGGAAGAAGCTCTTGGCTCCTGGCTCAGACTGGCCCAGTCCCTGCCATTTTGCAGCCATGTGGGGAGTGAACCAATGGATGAGAGATCTCTCTCCCTATCTTTCCTTCTGTCTAACACTTTTTCAAGGAAATAAAGTTTTTTCAAAAATAATAAGACATAAAGTATCTGGATAACTAGTAATCATGCTGGTTGCTTTGGTCGGTGCAAACTGGAAATTAGGCTTCCTGAACCCCAAACTAGACTGGGTACAATCATTGAAAAACTGACTCTGAACACAAAAGCATTTGTAGCAGGGAGGGAGAGAGTGCAGGGCAAATTATGTAGCCTGTCTCACCTTTTTTTTGTTTTTGTAAGATTTATTTATTTTTATTGGAAAGACAGATCAGATTTACAAAGAGAAGGCAAGAGAAAGATCTTCATCAGTTGGTTCAACTGAAACTGAGCCAATCTGAAGCCAGAAGCCAGGAGCTTCTGCTATGTCTCCCATGCAGGTGCAGGGTCCCAAGGCCCTGAGCTATCCTCTATTGCTCCCCTAGGCTTCAAGAAAGGGGCTGGATGGAAAGTGGAGAAGCCTGGGCAAGAACCAGAGTTCACATGGGATCCTGGTGTGTGCAAGATGAGGATTTAGCTACTGAACTATTGTGCCAGGCCCTTTTAGTTACTTTTTTTTAAAAAAACAAGTTTATTGTGATTTGTAGGTAAAATTCTAAGAACATAGTGAAATGCTCTTTCTCCCTCCTTCCCATCTTTTTTCATCTCTATTTCGCTCTTTTTTTGTTAGTTTTGGGCTAATGTATTTTAAATTCTCCTTATGGTCAAAAGCAAAATTTCACCGATTGGCAAGTTTAACAAGTCCAAAGCAAAAAGACCAGAGTTTAGCGGGTATACAGTCAGCAGCAATTGAGTGAGAAAATGAATTTCATTCATATACAGTACGTTTTAAAATAATCACAGATCATTAAAACCATAGGGATATAACATTGAGAGTTTTTAAAAAAAATCATGAAGGAATTTGTCCAGTAGTAGGAAAAAAGAAATGTAGAAATATGGTGATTTGAAAACTCTGTTACCTTTCAAAAGTCAGCATTGTAATCGCGAATTTACTCGTGATTGATGTAATAGGTACTCCAGTCATACTTACCCAGGGCTGGACACTGTGTTACGTGTTTAATTTCCAGCTTTCCATTGAAGCTTCCCTGTGAGGGAGGTGCTGCATATAGCAATAAAGAACATGGCTGGTGTCAGAGGGTCTGGCTTCTAGATCCGCCCCATTGCTGCCCCTCGTATGTTGTTAATTGCTTAGATGCTCTGAGTCTGTCTCCACATCTGTACAAATGGGTATCATACTAGGTTCCATCCCATAGAGTTATTGTGAAAAGCAAGTTCATATGGGGATACTACAAGAAGGTCATGGGAATGCACTTAAAAATATAATTATTTTAGTGTGAAAATTTTTTGAAACCCTTGAAATGCAGGAGGGTTTTCAACAAGTTAAGGAAAAATGTATCATATAAAAGCCAACACTGTATAAGGATGCAGATTTTCTTTTTTTTTGCATCACATTAAACTTACCTTTCCACTGCAGTTTTCCATGAGCTTTTGAAATCCCTTTGCTTGTGAAAAGAGCTTAAAATAGCTTTAAAATGTAACTTTTCAAAGCACCAATGCTGGAATGTACCACTGTGCTCATGTTGATTTTGTGCTCAAGCCAGTGTGGGAGAAGGGTGGAGAAATCTTTCCTTTTAGCAGTACTCACCTCTTCACTGTGTGTGTGTGTGCAGGAAGGTTGCTGTCCTGTCTCTGGCTTGTTCATGGCACTCCTCTTTGCTGACAAGCTTGCGGTGTTTTAGAGAGCAGTGGGTCGGAAAGGTAGACACCCTGGACTGCTGATGGCAGGTGTGTCCAAGCATGAGTGGACAGTGGGATTCCTGAGAGAAGCGGGCCACTCTGAACCCATGAGTGACGTCCTGTGTGTGCTCTCCCAAGAAATGCCTGGCCAACAACGGGGTTTTTCTAAGAAAGGTGGTTTGATATATTTAGAATTCCTACTGAATAAACTGTAGCTTTATGAACAAACCGGTAGGTTGAACGTCAAATAATACGAACTTAAATTTTTTTAAAGACAGAGAACCTTATATCCCTATGAGAAGAAGTGCTTCATGTTGTGGATTGGTGAATTTTTGATACAGTTCGTATTATTCAAACCATGAATTTTATTACTTTATATATGACCTGGAAATTCATATTGATTTTGAAATCACTCTGAGCGGAAGTCTCCATGAGGGCCTGGCATTAAAGATTTCCCTTCATGCTTTAGCCTGTGAATATTGGTGAGCGCGTAAGAGGAGCCTGAGTAAAGATTTGCAGGGGTGGGAACGATTCATCTATCATAATTTGGGCACAATCAAAAAGCCACTTGAACCACCTGCAGCTGGGTGAAGGGAAGGGGTTTTGTTGGTGTCTAAAGGGCCAGGTACTTAAAGACTTGTTTTTCTAGCTGTTGAATGGTAGAGCCTCAAGTGTGTGTGTGTGTGTGTGTGTGTGCACGCTTTGCACTCGGTTCCTTTCAATGAATTTTCCCTGTGATTATGAAAGAAAGGAATAGAGCATGATGCTTCATATTGAAATTAGGAAACAATAAGTTTTCATTTTTAAAAAAGTGGTCGGGCAGGCTTTGGGATGCAGCAGCTGATGGTGCCACGTGGGATGTCTCTGCCTCACGTGGGACAGAAGCTCTGCTTCCTGTCCAGCTTCGTGTTGCTGTGCTCCCTGGGAGGCAGCAGGCGAAGGCTTGGCTACTTGGGTTCCTGTCACTCACGTGTAAGATCTGGTTGAAGATCATGGCTGCTAACTCTGACCGGTCCCAGCCCTGATTGGCAGAGGCCTTTGAGGAATGAGCTAGGGGATGAAAAATCTACCTCTGTCTCTTGAAGTCACTCTGATCTTACATCTACTAAATTTTGAAAAGTTCAAACCTGAAAAACCACTTCGTTGATTATAAAACTATGTTTCAGGCTGTCCTGCCAGCCCCAGGGTGAGCCTTTGTCCTTGGTGCTCTGCAACTCCCTTGTCAGCTGCAAAGGACAGTGACCATGTTCAGATGAATTGAGATTGCACGCTCGGGTCCAGATATTTGTGAACAGAAAATAAATGCAGGCGTGATTACGGCTGATGATGAAGAGAACAGAATGTCTCAGAGAGTCAAACTCATTATTGTTCTTTCAAACGGTTAATGAAAAACCCCGAATAGGACAGAGTCACTGATTCATTTTTAATGTTGTTATTGGTTTTTTTTTTTTAAGAGAAGAGCTATTTCCTGTGCTGTGCTGGCTGCAAGCAAATGAGAGGAGTACAAGGTAGTTCAAGAAGCCTAGCTGGGTGCTGGGGAAAGGTTCTGCTCGCATCCTCACCTGCCATGGCCCTTGGGTCAGTTGCTTTACCTCACTGGATCTTATCTGTAAGACAGGACAGGTAACAAGGAGTGGGGTGCCTCCACGTGGTTTGACAGCATGCCTTCAATCTCTTAGGAAACTGTGTGCTGTCACCCTTCCTCTTGTGATTTAGTCCCCATGTGGGCAGCTGGGGGGTTCTGTGGGAGCTGGAGGTTGGTCTGAAATGAGATTCCGTAAGGAGAGGTTCTTTAAGGGACTAAACCAATTGTGGAGGCAATGTTGCTAGCGTGTGTTTGTGTCATTGTTTGCTTTTCCTTTGGTTTCTTGGCTGCCCAAGTCCTAGGCCAGATGTATTGATGGAAATGTCAATGCGAAACAGTTGAAACTTTTAAGGATTAAATGTGTTCTGTCTTTAGCCATTCTAGATGTAAAATTGTGTATTTGCTAACTG